CAGTTTAATCTTTGAAATGTGACCATAAAAGGTTCAAGATATGGTGTCACATTGGTTCTACCTGTAACAAGACTTCGTGAGGAAAAGACAGGATAGCAAGGAGGGTTTTGTATTTTCTGTGCAAAGCTGGGATGTTTCCAGACAGCATAAAGCCTTGAGCAGCCTGGGCTGATCTCGGTGGTGCTGATGCTTTGAGCAGGAGGTTGGTCTAGAGACATCCTGAGAGCCCTTCCGACCTGAAGTATTGCGTGATCCTGTGATTCACTCTATCACAGTAAAGGGAAGAGCAGTACACACTGTTCAAAACCAAAGATTTTCAGGGAGGAGGGGGGGAAGGTTCACAGTAAATCACAGTATCATTTATTTCTGCTTTCTCCCCTCACATTTTAGCTGAAAACAGCCATTGATACCTATAAGAAAGCTAAAAATGGCACAAAATATTGATTTGATATAGAGTATCTTTGACTATCTTTCCTTTTGTCATCAACTCTTTGTGCACTGTAAGATGCAAGTATAGCAAAGCAACTTTAATGAACAAGTATGATGCTAATGGTCCCTGACACATATGTACGAGAGACTGCATGCAGCTCCTCTGAGAGGATGGCAAAGCTCACATCTTGCAGCCTACAAAAGAGAAGGCTAAAAATGGCAAGGAAAATCCTATTTCTGAATTGCTCAGTGGCAAATAGCAGTTATAACTTCAGCCTGCCTCAGAGCACGGGCAGCGCACGGATCCCTGGGTTACAGTCAGCCCTGGGATGGCTCCTGTGTCTGGGCTGTCAGGAGAGACTGCAAACAGCCGTGCAAGTGTTTCAGTCTCTGTGTGCCACAAGGAGCACGCAGCGACCATAGCAGGAGTGATCATTTCTAAGGGAGAACCTGCCACATCTATCAATACATTAATTTTAAATAAACAGTAAGTACAAGACAAAACTGCTAAAAACGTGCTACAGTTGCATAAAGATGCCTGCCTCTGGGCAGTCATGTAAAAAGTGACTGCTGTCTCATATCCAGTCCCCATCTACCTCCTCGCAAAGAGGAAGTCTCTGGACCGTCTTTCACCTAGCACATTTAACCCAATACATTCCCATT